GAGATCACCTGGGTGGCCACAAGTGGCTCTCTGGACTATGGCCTGCAAACTTCACGGGATTTGAAATCCCGTGAAGATTTTTCCTGCTTAATTACGTGGTTAACAAATGGTTTAAAACTTCACGGGATTTTATTTAAAATCCCGTGAAGTTTTTGAACATTTTTCACCAATTTCGACCCAATTTCATCCAGTTAGCTGAAACTAGGTCAAAATTGGTGAATATTTTCAAAATAGATCGAATTTTACAAATATTTTTCTAAAGATGTTTAAAACGAAAATTTATCTAAAAGAAAAACCAATTTATTCCCTCAAGAGCCCCAAAAACAATGTGTCCTAATTGTTTATTACTTTTTTTTAAAAGTTTCAACCCCATTTCCGCTCCAAAATTTAAGAATTGAGACTTCCTATTATACCTAAGTGTGTTGACGTTTCATGAAAAGCTTTCCTAAAATTAAAAGTGTAAACACATTTTAGAAAAAATAAAATTAAGGTGCCTTGACTATTGATATAGGTGTCAAATAATTTCATTTCCTATTATGAGGTTTCCTAGCGAAACAAACAGTAATCTCAAATGTCTCGATACCTTTTTTTTTAAAAGGTAAAAATCAACTCGATACATAGCTAAGAATGAAGAAGATCTTAGATATACGTTACATTACCTCTATTATATAGTGATATTTTTTTTTGTCTTACTCGACAGATTTTCTTTCCTTTTTACACAGGATCAAAAAAGAATATACCCGTTCACCATTTTTTCCAAGGATTACAAGATGATAAATAAGTAATTCGATTTAATCAGCGGGGGGCAATTCGCTTAAATGCCTCTCTCAACACTTGAAGAGCCAATACAATCTTTTCTTCTCAGGCGCCGTTTCATTTCCCTCTTCAGACAATTATCAGAATAAATATAATAGTAATAATAATAATTAAAAAAAAGTACGAGTTGAAGTTCGCGCTGTTTCTTCGATTCCTCCGCCCAAAACTCCGCTCCTCGATCGGTAATCTCTCATCAATTTATCTCTCATCTCTCGCTTCAAATCGATTACAAGCGTTTTTTAGTTAATTTTTGAGTTCTTTAGCTTCAAAACTTATGAGCAGCTTGTTTTACTGAGTATTGATGTTTATTCCTTTGTAGATGATGATGGGATTTAGGGCTTTTGGTTTGGGTCTTGTTTGATAAATGGTGAAATTTTTGTTTTGGGTTCTTTTGAGTTCTTTTGGTTTGGGTCTTGTTTGATAAATGGTGAAATTTTTGGTACAAGCTTATTAGAGGAGTGACGATATGGATCTAGCTTCTGGTCTGCACCAATCTCGTGTTTCGAGTTACGGAACTTTCTCCAGTTCTAGGGTTTCGAATTCGAGAATTAGGTTCAGAGCGCAAAGTTTGAATTTTGCTGGAGCTTCTAGGGCTTTTAGCAAATCTTGTGCGTTAAAAAGGAGGAATTGGAATGGGAATGGGAAAGTTAGTAGCTTGTTCCCCTTGAGTAGAAATTTGTGCAAGTTCAAAAGAAGATGTCAATCGAATGACTCATTAGCATTTATTGATGGTAGCAACCAAAATTTGGAGTTAAGTGACATGGATTCGGGAGAGACTGAGAGTTCTACAAACTCTGATGTGGAATCAAATGGTTCGATTGAAGACGAGAAGGAAGATGCATATAAATTGGAAGATCTTAGAGAATTGCTTCAAAAGGCTTGTAAAGAATTGGACATTGCGAGAGTTAATAGTACGATGTTTGAGGAGAAAGCTCAGAGGATTTCGGAGTCTGCCATTGCATTGAAGGATGAGGCTGAAAATGCTTGGAAAGATGTAACTGATACTGTTTCAAACATTCAAGAGATTCTCGGTGAAGAGACTATAGCCAAGGAAGCGGTACAAAGGGCTACAATGGCTCTTTCAATGGGTGAAGCTAGATTACAGTTGGCAAAAGAGGTGATAGAATCAAGCAAAGGGGTACCAGAAACGGAAGAGTCCATGCAAACTGATGGCGAGAATGAAATTTTTTCTGCAGTGGAGGAGATTAATGAGTGTAAGGTAAGCTTGGAAAAGTTTGAGGCAGAGTTGAGAAGAATACAGGATAAGAAAGTGGAATTGCAGAAGGAAGTGGATAGATTGAGTGAGATTGCTGAGAAAGCACAGTTGGCTGCTATTAAGGCTGAGGAAGATGTGGCCAATATAATGCTTTTAGCAGAACAGGCAGTGGCTTATGAGTTAGAGGCTACACAGCGTGTTAATGATGCTGAGCTTGCACTGCAAAAGGCCGAGAAGGCTGTCTTGTCTTTTGGTGCTGTGGAGCAACAATTACCATCTTCAGAAGAACAGAAAACTGAAGAGTCTACTGCCGAATATGAGGTGAGCTTTGGAGATGATGATGATGTTACAATTGGAAAGAACGGAGAGGTTGAAGTGGGCATAGTTGAGCAAAATGTTGAAGAAGCCAAGTTGTCTGATGACATGCATGATCAGGAGAATGGAAAGTTGGGCTCTGATAAAGATGACGTTGAAGTGGACAAGTCAAAGACTGTGATTCAGCAAAAGAAGCAGGACATACAGCAAAAAGAACCTCAGGCTGCTCCCAAAGCATTGTTGAAATCATCTCGATTTTTCTCTGCCTCATTCTTCTCCTTCAATGTAGATGGGGAAGAGTTCACTCCAGCCACAGTTTTCAATGGGTTCGTTGCTTCGGCAAGGAAGCAAGTCCCCAAACTAGTTTTTGGAGCCGTACTTCTAGGGATGGGGTGAGTTACGCTTCTACCTTTTTTGGAGCCCCGAAACTGGGTACTTGATTTTCCCCTAACAAGTATTATTTTCTACTGCAACCGATCTCTTGCAAGAAAGAACGTGAGGTTTCTGTTTCTCATATTACAATTGTTGCTTTTTTTTAATTGGTTTCACCAGGGCTGTTTTGCTTAATAACCGAGCAGAAAAGAATTCTCAGCTACTTCAACAACCTGATATGATTCCTAGCATTGAAGAAGTTACTTCAACTGCAAAGCCTGTGGTTCGAGAAATAAGGAAGATTCCAAGAAGATTGAAGAAACTCATTGCACTTTTACCCCATCAAGAGGTTGGTGCCTTTTATCCTTCTTCACTAATTTCTATTAATATTCATTACTTTTTATTGTATCTCTGAAGTAGAATATGTGCTTATGATGGTATCCTGTTCTTTGATTGTTGTTTTTCAATCTATTCAGATAAATGAAGAGGAAGCCTCCCTCTTTGATATGCTCTGGTTACTATTAGCTAGTGTAATATTCGTACCATTATTCCAGAAGATACCTGGAGGTAAATCTTCTCTTCTTTCTGTGCTACTTGTTTCAATTTTCTAATTACATGTAGAGTGGCTTTCATTTAAATTATAACATGCTGTGGTGATAAAATTGCGCGCGCCAAGCGAACAACTATAAAGGATGAGACGTTTAAATTTTAAAAGTTATTATTAGTTGTTCTGCTTATAATTACTATTAGCTTTCTCTTAAGGAAACTGTAGGTTGTAATATCAACATTTTGTACATATTATCACTCATGCTTAACGTCATTAAATAAAAAGTTTCTCTACCCATTTTCTCTCAATTTGTTTTCATCAATTAGACTACTTCTCACGCACTTTCTCTTAGATACACGCAAAGGGAGAGATGGGGAAAAGAGGAGGGGAGTTATGATTTGTGAAAGTATGACAAACTAGTTACCATCATCCATGCCTCACTTACTGTCATTCGAAGAATTCAGTTACTAACCTCCATGGTGTGCAGCACCAATTACCTTATGTGAAAGTTACTGCATTCTGTTCCTCGACTTTGTGGGGATCATAATCCTTGGTCAGATCAAGATCCACTCAACTTCTTGCACGCACGCTTAGCAAAGCTAGATCTTGAAATTGGCTAGATTTGGACTAGACTCATATTACTTGGAATTTTACACAAATTTTTTTGAAACCTCACTGGCCCTTTTGTTAGTTGGCGCCCTAAGTTAGGCTTGAGACTGGGGTCGCTTTGGGGAGAAAAATTTTGGCCTCTGCTTGCGGCCTAGATGAGGTCTTGCCATATGAAGAAACTTTCATGTGTCAAAGTATGAGCATATATTTCAGTCAGTATGGCTGTATCCTTTCCAAAGAAAATCATGATTACAAGTATCTGAAAGCTTACTGTCTAAATCTTTTAGCCCTTCTTGTATCTTCAAGCTTTATGCCAAGGCCTGCCAGCCATGTTACCTAGTTATGAGGCGGTTTCTTCACTGATCATGTCCACTGTTTTAAAAAACCTCCGCCTAGTCCTCTTAGGCGTACGCCTAGGCCTAGGCGGTACCTAGGCCACCTAACTAGCGCCTAGTGCCTAGGCGGTATTTAGGCTGCCCACCTAGATTTTACGAGCGTTTAGGAGGGCATTGTCTGCTTACGTGGATTGCACCCTGTAGGCCTTGATTGTAATTTTATGTGTCGTAGCCTATACGTCCTCCAAACTCTATTAACCTCCAAATATGAACACCTCAACTACCTCCTCCGACCTTCAACAAAACCTCATCGACCATCACTTAAATGAAGAAAGAAAAAAAAAACGCCTGGAAACCGCTTAGGCGCCCGCCTAGGCGACTAAGCGCTAGGCGCCAAGTCCGACGCCTAGAAGCGCCCAGCGTTTAATGTAACATTGATCATGTCTTTCAAACCCCAGTAGCTTGGCCTTTTTGACTTGGAGGAAGGTCAGTTATGAGCCAACTATTCTTAAGTGAAGCCCACTAAGTTATGCTACTTAATAGGAGCTATAAATGCAAGGGTTCCAGCAACCTTCATTGTTGGGTAGCAATCAAAGGCATAGTATATGGTGAATTTGTGTCCAACCTTTCTTTTGGGGTTCTTCATTATTCGTTATTTCTTGAACTTCTAAAATATTTTCTTCATTAAGGTTTGGGAAACTGTTGTGCTTACTTTTGATTGCTTTATTCCTTCCTGAATATCACAAAGTTAAAAAGCTTTACATTGGGGTGCTTATATACAGAACAAGATAATTTCATTCTATTAATGATGCCACTTGTAATTTTTGATATTCTCTAGGGAGTCCTGTACTTGGTTATCTTGCTGCTGGGATTCTTATTGGTCCTTATGGGCTGTCTATCATACGCCATGTTCATGGGACAAAGGCTATAGCTGAATTTGGAGTTGTGTTTTTACTGTTCAATATTGGTCTCGAGGTAGTATCCTTAAAGTATTTATGCCTCTTCTTCAATAGAACACTGGCTTTAGATGTGTCTTCCTTGGCCATCTATTTGTTGAACTAGCTGTGAAAAATGTGACTCACACTTTGCAGCTTTCTGTGGAAAGGCTAAGTTCAATGAAGAAGTATGTTTTCGGGTTAGGATCTGCTCAGGTAACATCCTAGGCTCATGTCTTTAGTGTAGCTGTTATGTCACAAGTAATTTCTTCGTGCATTATTTGTTTCGATTGACAACTTGCAGGTTCTGGTGACTGCAGTATCTGTTGGCTTTGTCTGTCATCTTATTGCTGGTCTACCAGGTCCTGCAGCAATTGTCATTGGTAATGGTCTGGCCCTATCCTCTACAGCTGTTGTCTTGCAGGTAATCTTTTTTCTGTATATTACATTTTACTTCAATCATATGGTAATTAAAATTCTTGTTTCACGTTTATTTCTTTTACTTCAATCATATGGTAATTAAAATTCTTGTTTCACATTTATTTCTTTTACTTCAATCATATGGTGCTCAGGTAACATCCTAGGCTCATGTCTTTAGTGTAGCTGTTATGTCACAAGTAATTTCTTCGTGCATTATTTGTTTCGATTGACAACTTGCAGGTTCTGGTGACTGCAGTATCTGTTGGCTTTGTCTGTCATCTTATTGCTGGTCTACCAGGTCCTGCAGCAATTGTCATTGGTAATGGTCTGGCCCTATCCTCTACAGCTGTTGTCTTGCAGGTAATCTTTTTTCTGTATATTACATTTTACTTCAATCATATGGTAATTAAAATTCTTGTTTCACGTTTATTTCTTTTACTTCAATCATATGGTAATTAAAATTCTTGTTTCACGTTTATTTCTTTTACTTCAATCATATGGTAATTAAAATTCTTGTTTCACGTTTATTTCTTTTACTTCAATCATATGGTAATTAAAATTCTTGTTTCACGTTTATTTCTTTTACTTCAATCATATGGTAATTAAAATTCTTGTTTCACGTTTATTTCTTTTACTTCAATCATATGGTAATTAACATTCTTGTTTCATGTTTATTTCTTTTTCTGGTTCTGGCATGCTTTGCTCAAAATTTTTGTTCATCTGAAGCAATGCCTTTAGGCTCCAATATAGCCACTTGGGTCTGGAGAAAAAAATTGAAAATTCATGAAGCACAACTAATTGTGTGTACACACACGCACGTTAGAAATCATGTTAGGTAATTAACATGTGGTGCATATCTGGTAATTGGCCAATTTTGCCATTTTTATTTTCAAGCTAAAGTTTTGGCTCATGGCTGATCCAATTTATGAAGGTTCCGACACTTCTGCTCTGTAATATAATGATACATGTCACGCTTACTGTTCATGCTTCTAAACTTCCAACAAATTAGACGTCTTTATGATCCTATTTCTCTTTCATAATATTATTGATCTCTGTGTAATCATCTATTTTATGCTTTAGGTGCTCCAAGAGAGAGGGGAGAGCACATCACGCCATGGTCGTGCTACCTTTTCAGTTTTGCTCTTTCAGGTATATTTCCTTTCTGTCTATACAAGTATAAATCTTCTTTTCAGCTCCATTCTGTTGCAGTTAATCCTGTAGCTGTTTAGGTATAGCCTTGTAACTGGATTGTAAGTGAATAGTATATAGTATTGCTGATGATTAGGTCATGTGTAGTATTGGAAGGTTACTATTTCACTTCTCCTATGTGGTGATTTTCCTACAGAATTTTGTATTTGTTGTCAGAGAAAGTAATCAAAGTATTTTCCTTTTTCATTTGCGTCTATGATCTTCCTAAAGTAGTTTATTTAAGTTACAAATATTTCTGCACCTGAGTGGGTGCCTTGTATTTATTGTTTGCAGATATCAGTTTTTTTGTTTTGTATTTATTGTTTGCAGATATCAGTTTTTTTGTTTCAATGGCATTCTTTCTCACCTTATGTTTTCTTTTGCTTCTAGGACTTGGCTGTGGTGGTTTTGCTGATACTGATTCCTCTTATTTCACCAAACTCTTCCAAAGGAGGGGTAACCTTCTGACATCTCTCTTTTATATCCGGAATTTCACTCTTCACTTCAACTGTCTCTTCATGTGTTTTCCTTGCAATACATAGCAAGATTTCATGCTCATTTTAGTTTAAGAGTTTGAGGTTACTTTAACTTCTATTTGGTGTGTAAATAATGTTTTTTTAATCAAGTTCACCTATGATAATAATGTAATTATCATTAATAATTGAGTCACTGGTTATGCATTTACTGTGGATTGTTTTCAGAAAAGAGGTACCACTGTAAGCATAGCCTGGGTTTCACCCATGAAAAGAACCTTCAACCTGCGAAAGCACGTTAGAGAATAAAATTATAACTCTCAACCTTCGTGACAACTTTGGAGTGTTAGTATGGTAGAAGGGACATGAAGAATTGCTTGTTTATTATTTTTTGATCCGCATGCTTGGGGTCACCACACCATGTTACTGGCTGTTTTGGCTTGGTTGAGCAGCTTCACTTTATTACTGAACCACACAAATTTTATTCGCATATTTTGGTTTGATCATGCAGCTTTACTTTATTACCGAATGGTATATGCATGTCACGAGCGTCTAGCATCTTAGTTCTGTGATTAATAATTTGATGGAATCCTGGTTTCATCCATGTTCAGTTTATAAGGTCATCAATTGATATGATCTAACAGTTCCTCCAATGCATGCATGCAGTTGTAATTCTGGTTGAGCACTTCCCTTCTAAAATTGATACTTTGTGTCATGTTTGATCTTTGTTTCCCCGCAGCTGGGATTTCAAGCAATAGCAGAAGCTCTGGGATTGGCTGCTGTAAAAGCTATTGTAGCTATCACTGCCATAATTGCTGGAGGAAGATTGGTAAGACCTATTCTATGCTATTAAATATCACAATTAAAGATTTGAGACAAAAACTTCTATTTGCATTTTTTTTCTACCTCTTTTATACTTTAAATAAATTGGGAGGCTGTGTGCATTGGCTGTTGCAATCCTTACTTCACATGTTGTCTGAAGCACCTTTCTTCATGCTCTCAGATAGATGTTATGTTAATATCTTTTTTAGTGTAATCGGGATTCTCCAAGTCTGAGACAGTGGGTGCATGTTCTAGTTATTATCATTTAATTATGATTGAATGCTGAGAACCCGTCATGGTTACAAGAAGTATGCAGCACTTCCTCCTCCATTGTAGTGTGATGTTCAGCTAGGAAGGACTGTCAATGAATTTAATGGATTTAACATATATTACATGTCATTAAGCCTGGTAAAAGATCTTCATATTATTCACATCTGAATAGTGTTGGGACTTGTGCTTCAATATATATGATAAAGACTGGTAATATATATGTTATCTTATGTAGTCTCTAGAAAAGTCACGATTCCCTGTTTGTACTTCTCGAGTTGTAGGCCATGCTTATCCTAACTATTTCTTTGACAAATCTGACAGTTACTTCGGCCAATCTATAGGCAAATCGCTGAAAACCAGAATGCAGAAATATTTTCTGCCAACACCCTCCTTGTCATTCTGGGAACTAGTCTTCTTACCGCACGGGTATGAACACCCACTTGACTTTGTTGTTCCTCCTTTTCTTATAAATGCTAATGACATCACCATACAGGCTGGGCTTTCTATGGCATTGGGAGCTTTTTTGGCTGGTCTTCTTCTAGCAGAAACAGAATTTTCCTTACAGGTTGAGTCAGATATTGCCCCCTATCGTGGCCTTTTGCTAGGTCTTTTTTTCATGACGGTAAGTTTTATGCATTAGACCTTAAAGGTATTCTCCATTTCATGACTTCTTTATATTTGTGCTATAGGCAGTAAATCATTGTATACAAATGTCCAGTGTTTTATTGAAATAATTGAAGCTGAAAAGGCTAATAAATAAAATACTCTACGTGATTGAGATAACAGAATCAGATGTGTTACTTTTTTATGGCCACCAAATCTGCTCATCTGAACGGAAGATCTTAATCTTTATTAGGACCCAAATGAGAACCAATCGCAGAGAATCCAGAATTCTGTTATATATAATCTATCAGATCGAGAAAAAAGAATATTTGTTAATTGTTCTATTTAAGAATCATAGTTGTGAAGCATGAGTTCCTTTATTTTGATCACTTGGATTAGTGTTTTGATCTACTGTTATGAGATACTTTTTTCATTGACTGGATCTCTTCAATATTTTCCTTAGTTTGTTAGATTGTATTGTTCTCCTGTTCCCTAGTTTTAGTTCAATAGGAAGCCCAAAAGCTCTATTTTTCTCTGAATTTTACATGTGATGAATGTGACCTGTGCCAACCTTTCCCTTTTTTTATTAGATTATGCTCCTGACAGCTACTGTTTTTAAATAAGAGACATAAAGCTCTGATTTTGTGGGTATCAGAATGAATTGGAAATAACGCACATCTGCATATTATCTTTATGCATCTAATGTATGTTTGCTTGCATCTAATGAAGTACTGCAGAATCATTTTTGATAGTGTGGAAGAATTTGTGTTGTATTCCGATGCTGATCCATCAAATCGCTTTCAACTTGAAGAATTTGTGTTGTGTTTTATTGCTTTATCCTTTTTTTGGAAATGGCTTAATTGATGAGTGCATAGCCCTGATAGAAAACATAATTAAGGGTGATCCATGCATACAATCAAAATTGATTGGAAAAGTGTTGCTATATCTGTCTACATTCTGCTGAAATTTGTTTTGGATTGGTTTATCGACAGAGAAATAATTTATTTGCACTTGATTTTTTTGGATGACTTCTTACAATTCCTGTAAATTCTTTGTACCTTTTTTCCCACAACATGTGCACTGCATTCATTTTTTATATGCCTGAAATGCTTGGCATTAAAATAATGGCTTTGATCTTTTTCATTACAGGTTGGAATGTCTATTGATCCGAAGCTTCTTCTTTCCAACTTTCCTGTTATTATGGCATCATTGAGTCTCTTGATTGGTGGAAAGGCTATACTGGTTGCTTTAGTTGGTAGAATTTTTGGTGTTTCCAGTATAGCTGCTATTCGAGTTGGTCTCCTTCTTGCACCTGGTGGAGAATTTGCTTTTGTAGCTTTCGGAGAAGCTGTGAACCAGGTTTACTTTCCCAGACTAAGCTATTTGTGCAAAAACTCTTTTCTGCATTTTTCTGAAAGGAAAAAAATGAGAAATAAGAGAAGACGTGTAGTTACCACTTTTGTTAAGCTGTACGCAGGAGGCCTAAGTGTTTCTTTCTTCTGTACATCCGATTATTGCAGGGTATAATGTCTCCTCAACTTTCATCTTTATTATTTTTGGTGGTTGGTATTTCTATGGCTCTTACACCATGGCTAGCGGCTGGAGGTCAGTTGCTTGCCTCTAGATTTGAGCAGCATGATGTTCGAAGTTTGTTGCCAGTAGAAAGCGAGGTAAATAGCCAACTGAATACGTGTCCTTGTTGTGCATGTTAAGATTCTGTACTTGACTACGGAGATCACTTGTGCAAATTAAAAAGCTAGCATCAAGAATTTTCGCGTTTATATAAATTTGAATAAAGAAAATCTTTATAGAATGGTATATGAGACACTATCATAGGAGTTATTTGAATATTACATTAATTTCATCATGTAGTGTTCAATGACATTTCTACCCAATATTTCACATGGTCTAATACCTTGTTGACTCATTATATTTATTGTTTACACTTTACAGTGTTCTTTTTCAGCTCACACTGGTTTTTTTTCTGTCTTTGTGCAGACTGATGACTTGCAAGATCATATCATTATTTGTGGATTTGGACGAGTTGGACAGGTGGTTTAATTGTGTTAATGTTTTTGTTCATAAGTTTGCAAGGCTATGAGATTTGTGGATTTTTTCCTTATATTAATGTGGTTATGACAGATCATAGCACAACTGCTTTCTGAACGGTTAATTCCATTTGTCGCTCTTGATGTCAGAAGGTAAGAGTACTCTGTCTTGATGTTTATTAGGATAAAGTTGAACTGTTTTATCACACACTAGTTATACTAGTGAAAAGATCTAAATAAGATTAAGATGTGCATGCGTACACTCAGTCACACATGAACGCAAGAATGTACACATTCACATTTACAAGTACAAGCCTTCTTTAAAAAACTGTCTTTAGGTAGATATGCTGCTCCTCTGAATTTTCTAAAAGCAGCTTTACCTTTAGGCTAAATTCCAGTGTGTTCTTTTTCTGTCAATTTTTTTTTAAATTAATGAGCTCAGAAGTGATGTCCATGATCTTTTTATTGACCTGGAGAAAGTAAAATTCTACTGTACTATGAATGAACCCTGTAAGGTTGAGGAAGAAAAATCTGCTCAAAGGGCATGTTAAAATTGTTATAATCTACAAAGCAGTTGAATTTGTAGAAGTATTGGCACGGTGATTAATCCACCAAGATAAGAGATGAAAACATTTCAGTATATGCTGTGACTTTTCTGTATATGCTGTCTAAGATGCAAATATGAAGGTTACAAGGCATGGCACTCCCCTCTTTATCAGAGTTTGGATTTGATTCCCTATGAGGGTTATTTCACCCATGAAGGGAGCCTTCTTCCCTAGGTGCTTACCTTATGGACCTTTCTGCCTGAATATGATATAAGAGAAGGAAAAGAGAGGGCTATTTGCCATGTATTCTTTGATCATTTGGATCACATGATAAGTGATATATTACTTTTTTTTAACAGTGATCGTGTAGCGGTTGGGCGTGCACTTGACCTCCCTGTGTATTTTGGGGATGCCGGGAGCCGAGAGGTAAACTAAGTATTTCAATGAAAAGCATCACTATGATAATTGTTTTTGAAGTATTCTTTTCTGATATAATGTCTGTAGGTCCTCCATAAAATTGGTGCAGAGAGAGCCTGTGCTGCTGCAATTACTTTAGATACTCCCGGAGCGAACTATAGAACAGTTTGGGCACTGAGCAAGTACTTTCCCAATGTTAAGACATTTGTCCGCGCCCATGATGTAGATCATGGAATTAATCTGGAGAAGGCAGGTGCTACTGCGGTAAGTAACCACTAGTTAGTTCAAGAAGTCTATTATTGCCAGTTTTCTTCATATATAACCTAAAAAATATTTAATCTTTCAAACTCTTTTAAAGGTTGTTCCAGAGACTCTAGAACCAAGTCTTCAGTTAGCAGCTGCTGTTCTTGCGCAGGTAAAAAAATATTAATAATAACTCAGGACTGCTGATGTTGAAATTATGTGAAAGTCAAGATTTTCCTAGGCTAAATGGCACTTAAATACCCTATTGTTTCTCCACTTTTACACTTAAATATCCTAAGTTGTAAAAAGTAGCACTTTAATATCTTAAGTTGTAAAAAAGTAGCACCTTAATATCCTAAGTTGTAAAAAACTGGCAGTTAATTACCCTATTGTTTCACCACCTTTACACCTAAATATTCTATGTGGTAAAAAATAGCACTTTAATACCGCAACTTATGAGAAAGTAGCACTTTAATACCCTAAGTTATAAGAAAACAGCACTTTAATACCTTCTGTTAGTTGGCAGGATATAATTGTCAGGATATAGGAAATTCCTGTGCCAACTAACAGAAGGTCAATTTTTTTTTACAACTTACGGTATTAAATTGCCGCTTTTTACAACTTAGGGTATTTAAATGTAAAGGTGGTGAAACAATGGGGTATTTAAGTGCCATTGAGCCATTTTCCTTCTCTATAATGACTTAATTACTACTTGGCATTTGTTTGTTGCTATTCTCTTGCAGGCTAAGTTGCCGATGTCAGAGATTGCGGCAACAATCAATGAATTCAGATCCCGTCACCTCTCGGAGCTTACGGAGGTACATAGTAATCTAATTCATGTCTATTTCTATATTTAAAGTGATTTATTTGCAGAGAGTGGTAGGTTAGCTGGCCATATCAATTAGGAATTCTCTTAGGTAGACCAAATTTCAGAAATGTAACAGGACCCAGGAATTGCTACTGCCTTACACCATAGTAATTTAGACACCTCATTGTTCATCACGATCTTCTTTTCTGAACGTAGATCATTTGAATAGATTCTTATAGAACCGGAGGTAAGGAGTGAGCACAGAGACCATCTAAGTCAATGGTTTCATATGCATTTGGAGAGGGGAAGAGGGAGCCTGAATCTTCTTGGTGCCTTCATATAAACTGAGGATGTTCATTGTATAATAGAGGATGATGTCATGAACCTAAGACAACAGAGTAATGAGACTAGATATACAAACCAATATGGAACCAATTTGTTGTGTTAATGAGATATTTTATGCTTGAAAAACTGTTTTAATAGTTCCAGCATTTTAGTCCTTTGGCTTACGGCGATACTGTGGAATCTTGATGCATCGATGTTTTCCGCCTTCAATATTTTTCAGATAGTTTATTCTGTATTATTGTGTTCTTTTGCTCATTGGCAAATAACATGTCCTCCTGCTTCAGTATGATATTAGCTCAACATACAAAATTCTGATGCTTCTCTCTGTTGCAGCTATGTCAGACTAGCGGAAGCTCCTTGGGGTATGGATATTCTCGGATTATGTCAAAGCCAAAACCATCACTATCAGATGATGAGAACGATGTCGTTGAAGGAACGTTGGCTATATAGCCATATACTGGATTTAGGACACAACAAAAAATTTTAGTAACTGTACAGCTGATGAATTTAATTCGGCGTTGGAAATTGTATAGGAAAAAAATAGGACATGGTGTTTGTACATTTTGTTTATTTAGTTGATTTTGCTCATTTTTCTTCCAAATTTTGTCAAGTCAAACTATCAAAGCTTGTAGCCAGTTGCATTTTTAAATCGTCATACATCCTTAATGTTAAAAATGAAGTTTTGCTCAAGGCTTTGCATATGTTCAGTGGTTTAATTGCGGTTCTTAATTGAAATAAATTGTTAGTATTTTCCTTTTTATCTGGATTGAGTCAAAAATTTGAGGCTCATGCAAGAAATGTTTCTTTCTCAAGGAAATGTTTTTAAGAATAAAATGCCTGGGTAAAGAGGTAACAGTCAATTAGGTAAGGCCTGCAATAATTTTCTTTTCTGTTCTTTTTCCTGGAAGAAAACAATTTGAAAAATATTTACGAGAAAATATAAAACCTTTTCCAGCTCGTTTTATTTTATAGAAGCATCAAATATTTACTGCATCTTTCCTTAAAAAGGGTTCTTTATCTTACAGGGCTTATCAGTCATCACTTATGGGCCCATGGCCTTATCAAATTTGGCTATAAATAGCCCCACGCCACGATCTAGCTTTCTCATCTCCGCTCGCTTTTGTTTCCCGCCAAAAAAAATGAAACCCCTCGCTTTTCAAACGCCGAAGCCTCCTTCAAACCGCAGCAGATCCAAGGAAACGCCCCAATCCAAGCGATCGGAGATCGGATCCAGCGATCCAAAGGTCCATTCCGAAACCCCAGCTCCCATCTCCTCTAATTTTATCTCACTTTCTCTCTGTTTCTCTCTCATCAGATCTTATCAAAGAGCTTCAGCTTCACTCTCTCAGAATCCTCGGACAAAGACGCCTCAAATTCGAGCTCGACGAAAGAAAAGCAGCAGAAAGTGAGCACGAAAACTCTAGTTCTTCAATTCCTTGGTTTTTTTTCGTCATTTTCCTGGTTTTTATTAAGCAGATCGTGCCTAAGAGCTTGGACCTGGAGTTCGCCGCGGTGTCTGAAGATCTGCTCGCGTCTGAATCGGATGAGACTCTTCTCTCCACAGATCTGGAAAGTCTCGTTGTAGATCGAGTGCTGGTGAGCTCGAAAACCTAGATTCTCTCGAGATCGCTGGATTCTCTGCTGTTTTCTTCACAATTTGCTTTCATTTCTTTGCAGAGTAGCTCGATCGCGCCTCAGTCGGGAATTTCGTCGGAGATCATACAAGGAGGAGGCGGATCCGGCAAGATCTTTGCGTCAGTGGAGAGTAAGGAGGCTCTGATGGTGACTGATCTGCTGAAAGAGTCGATCATTGAGTTCAGAAGCTCGATCAAGCTTCTTGATACTCTGAGAGAGGGTTTTGGCGATGAGAAGGCAAAGACTGGTCGATGGAGTGATAAGATATTGTTGACCAAGCTGCAGGCAGGATTTTCTTCGCTTCTTATTCTGACTGCAGCCGCATCTTGTTTTGTGCTCAGTTTGAGGACTTTGGGTGGCGATGAGGAGTGGAGTTTCACCGGCTTGCATCCGACTTGAGGTTACAAGCTCTTGTTCCTCGTGAGAAAACGGTGGTTTTTGAACTTTAGGTTTGGTTGAAAATTGGGTAGGATTTGGATCTTAGGTATAGCTATTGAGTTTGTGAATGAGTTCAATAAAGTTCTCGTAAACATTTTGAGCTGTTAGAACTTGCAACAAACTCCTTTTAATAGGTAAGCAGTGTCTTGTTCTGAAGCATTATCTCACTTGTACAAAAAATAGTTATAAATGAAAACGCATGGAATTTGTACTGTTACTGACTGAGCTCAAATACAACAGAAATATTATCCTTTATTATGCAACAATTTTTAACCACCTGTACTGAAATAATATATGAGATACTGAACTTATAGTGTGGATGAACTTTTCGAACTTGATATTCCCCAATGTTACAGTTTATCCCAGTCATAAAACTTCTATAATAATAAATAACATAAACACCTGCTTGACAAATGTATAATTGAAGAGAAATAAACACTTGTGAAGAGAACCACAACAGATTAGATCCCTTAAGATACTGAAATGAACAACATTTTCCTCCCTTCTTCTGCCGCCAGCAAACTCTAGTTGACTATCAATGTCCTATTGATACAATTCAAAGCACCTCCACTTTATTTCGACAAGAAGAGAGATTTGCATTGTTCTGCAGTGTCCTCCGGGCTGGTTACTGCAAGGAAGAGTAACTATGTAATTAAGATCAGAGGACAATTAAGAATAAAACATAAACTACTATTGCTAAAAAAATCATCAATCAATGAGCATGGATAGCTGTAAACTCATCTTTTACCTACATGAGTTATGATATAAACCTCAAACTAGGTCAAGTGAAGTGCATGTAGGCTGCATAACGTTATGTAGAGAACTGACCCACATAATTGTTCTACAGTAGACAACTACAAAGAAATGGTTTACAAATCCCGATATCGTACATAAGACTTTGCTTTCGTGCTCATTCTCTACATTGCTACATGAGCTTAAACCGGGTCAATCATTATGCTAGATTTATACCAGATTAGCAACTTTTTTTTTTCAAAGTGCAACAACAGCTTAGTGCCATCTTCTTTGCATAATATAAAAGATTTTTTCAACCATCTATTCAGTCTCATCTAAAATATTCTGGTTCAGATGTTTGGAAATCCTACAATTGAGCATACCTGTGTGGCCTGCTGTTTGTTCAGATTCGTAAATCTCGTGATCATTCCCTCCCTGTAGATGGAAGGAGGGTTGTCAAAATATGCAAGGATAATCTTGGAACTCACTGAAATCAAAGCAGTTAAAATGATTTGACCAAAAGTTCAAAATCCACCTCATAATTTTCAACACTAACATTGATTAGGCTAATAAAGAAAATAGGAAAGCTGTCCATTAAGACATTGGCGCCATATTTGACATAAACAAACCTCAGAAAATATAGAAATACAAAAGCTGCCTCACAAATATCAATATTGAGGGTTCGCATGTGATAGCACAAAGTAATGAGTTATGCTCAAATTAGTTGTGTAATAAAAAAAATTCCCCTTTTGTGATACTTCTAGTCAACACAAAGGTCCCATGCATTATAAGAGTAGATCACCCTAATAAGGATGTGTCATTATAACCCATGAGCAGATAAGCATGTGATGTTCATGAGACTGAAATTCCAAACCTAATAAAGATTTGTAAGTGAGAAATGTTCACAGTGATGTTAAACTTTCAAAGCATGCATATATGCAGCAACTAAACTATGAGCTGAGCTGGCATCAGAATGCTCCGCGGGGTCAATGAAGACAGAGATTTCAGGTAATATGTCACGTAACGTACGGAGCAAGTCTCATATCTGTTTTTGGGTAATTATATCTGTCCACATTGTGTATAAAATTGCTTTTGAAATTCTATTATTGTTAAGCATATTATGCAGCACAGGAGAGAGGATCTCAGGTTCACTTGTATGCGGCAGATATTAAGAGTTTAGTGTTGTTCGAAACTGTATTGTTTTTAAACCTTCTTCAGAAAATATTATGAACCACAAATAAGATGATAATACTCATTTACCTTGTACGTCTTGTCCCCAAAGAAATGGATCTCCTTGAAGTCATCAAGGTATCTTAAACAGTAGGTCTTGTCCCAGCCTTGTGGAAACACCTACATAAGAACTAAGCCAGATTAGAAAAGTTATTGATTGATAATAACACTCTACGCCCACAATTACTAACACAAACATACATCGAAACTTATCTGCCCTCCAATGGAGAATGTCAGGTTCAAGTGTGCGAACTTTTCACGAAGCACAGAGACCATCTTTGTCCTTACGTTATGAACCTTAAACATTTCAAAATTTAAAAATCCAGTCACTTGAAGTTGAATATGTATCTCTGTCTCAAAACATAGTCGTTAACTTAATTTTGAAAAATATACCTTGTCATACTTTTCAAACTCATCTCGCTCCTCTTGACTACAGTTCCGTCCTATAGGTGAAACATTTAGCATTCCACTACGAAACTCTATGAATGTTCCCCTGAGTAATCAAATAATAAAATAAACTATAGCTGACATCTGGATGCAGGTTTAACTAGCGAAAGGTATGATTGCTAACCTTTTTATGGGGATATCCAGATCAGCAATATAGTGAAGTGTGAAATTAATAAACTCCTGCATCAAATTTATATTATTTAGAAAAAAAAGAACTTATACCAAATAATTCAAGAGAAGATTGATAAGAAATCATCAGACCTTGAGCTTTTCATCTCCAAGGAATGATTTCAAGCTCTGCAAAATGGAGGAAACAAAATCTATTTCCATCAGGAAATACAAAATAGCATAAAAGCATAAGCGCATTCATCAGAGAAAATGAGGGAGTAGTTTTTAAAATCTTTACAGGCAAACTTCTGATTAGAGTACATACACAAAAATAAAATGAAAAGAGAATATATGCGTATACAGTCCTATATGCATTTAGTTTCATACAACAAACTCACTATTTCTATGAACTGTAAAGACACTCATTCCTTGGTATGAGAGTATGGTTCCTAAAGTCATAATATAACTGATAAGAGGATATCAAAATGATATAGTAACATCTAGCATCAGGGGCTTCCATTGTTATCTCTAGTGTTTCCGCACATGAAATAAGATTAAAGGCGCACAAAAGAGCGCGTAAGTTCTCG